TACGGGAGCAGCACGCGTAGCTTTTCTTTCCTTCTTTCCTTCTTTCCTTCTTTCTTTTTTTTCCCTCCCTTTTTCTTTTTCCCCTCTCTTCCCCCCCCCCTTTTTTTCCCTCCTTTTTTTCTCCCTTTTCCCTCCCCCCTCTTTTTTTCTTTTTATCTAAACATTTTCTTATTAGGACACGTTCTACTTGTCTGGGTTCTGTCGTCTGTAACCATAAGCCTTTGAAGTGCAAGTTAAAACTACCAGGGTTTAAACACCCTGGGTACCAAATTCCGGCGGCTGGTTGGGCCCGCGCGTGCCGGGCGCCTTCCGGATGCGAACGCTGCCTTCACCCGCGTTCGGGATGCGAACGCTGCCTTCACCTGCGCGGGTCGCTGCCCGTTTCAGGGGCTGCCGGATGACTTAACAACACTCAGCATGTTTACATAACACGCTTTTGTTTATACGTGGCTGATAGCACCTAAACAGCCCCGATCCAATACCGGCTGCTGACCTAGAGCAGCTCCTGAAGTAGGAAGCGACGACCCGTTTATTTTATCCGCCCCATCCCAAGCCCACACGCGTATACCAGCAGTTGTGCACGGATCGGGTGCTGGGAGCGGCGCCACACGCGCCGGCACCCACAGCTGCTCCACAACCAACACAGCTGCTACTAAGGACTTTTTCTCTTTCTTTTGCTCCCCCTTAGTTCTTTTCTTCCATCTTCCTCTCATCTCGGGAAGCTCCATCCCTATTGGAATAGGCAGCAATCATTCCAGTCTCTGTAAGTACTCTCTTTTTTCTAACCTGCTTTAATGGCATGCCTCGCAGTCATGGACAGCTCCGCGAATATTGTATTTAAAGTCCACTAGCAGAAAAGGGCACCAATCCATTAAATCCCTTAAAAAAATCAAATAGCTTCCAGACTAAGAAAACAGGAGAATTAACTGAGCTGCAATCAACTTGTGAGCTAGACAAAATGTACTGAAATCAGAGAGAAGTGCTTGGAGCTGGGCACCCGAACATTTGGTTGCAGGTACAAGTATAGTACAACATTTCTAATAAATAAATAAAAACTTCCTCCTTTGCAACATTTTCTCCCAACACAAAGTAGCAGGTGGCTTCTAAAACCAACTTACAAATTAAGCACATTGGCATTGGGCAAAATTTGTGTTACTTTGGCCATTACTAGTGAAAAAACATAGTCAAAAATTATTCCCAAGCACTGAAACAAACAGTTCCTGATGTTTGACCTCCTTCCACTCATGGATTTTTGTAGTTACTATTTCAAAATGATTTAGAAAGGAAACGTAATGTTATAGGAGCTGATTCTGCCTGTGCTACTGGCCCAAGTCACATCAGAGAGCTACCTGTATGCAGGAAACCAGCCTGGCACTTCAGCTGCAGGAACCCGCAGTGACAAGAGCAGGGCACACGAGGGAAAGGCCAGGATCTCTCTCAGAGCAGGGTCTTCAGCACCTCGACAAAGGTGATGCCGAAACGCTGTAACTAGTTGTAACTACTCCTCTCTAACAAAACTTTCATGCTAAAGATGCCCATCACACATATGATGTAAATGAGAAGTTTAAAGAACGGGCAAATAACTCTTTTTCACATTGCAACACACGTAAGGAAACTGCAAAGTGAAGCAGCTACTATGGTTCATAAACAAGAACTGTCACCAAGTTGCCTGTTGGCCACTGTGACCTACAAGCTAGGAGAAGTTACTCACAGCCCCTAGACTGTTTCTATTCACACTAAGTATTTATAGCAACTAAACCTGCTGCACGTGGTAACTAAGAGCAGAGTTTGGTCTGTAAAGCTGGTTATGTTCCAAAAAATGAGTAAATACAAGTTGTCGTTTTTCAGATTGTTTGGTCATCCCTTAAACTCCTAGCAAAACCATGTTGAAATTGGGTTCAAAAGCAAGTGCAAACCTGGGAGCCGCTTAGCAGAACTTGTTCACCCTCTTGCTACCCAGTATGTGACAAACTGTCAGCATCTAAGCCCTAAGAAATACAAGGCAACCTCCTAAAAGCGCCAGGCACTTGTACAAGCTCCCACCAGCGCAGCTGCACGCGACAGCCTGCTCATTTATTAGCACGTAGCCTGTAAACACAGCAAGAACAACCGGCCGTGGGGCTGCCCATGCTGCGAGGCCAACGCTGCAGAGTACCGTGCGGTGACGTCTCAGCAGACCCGCTGCCCCCCATCACGCACGAGACCCCCCTGCAGCGCTCAGCACACGGGCAGTCAGCGCTGTTCAGTTTGGGAAATCGTGTCGGAATAACGGGGCTTTTTGCACACCCCTCACTTGCATGTTCCTTGACCCTTGAGCTAAGATTTTTCCCGTCTGTTGCTCCCCCCAGAGAGACCATTTCTTCACGACAAGAGACCTTTGTTTGGCATTAACTGCACACTGGCCAAGATCCATGCTGGAACCATCGCAGCAAGCGCCATTCGGAGCAGCCCCGGTGCTGTCCTCCTTCCCAGATGGGAACCTTCACAATTAAGTCTCCTTAAGACAGTATTTTCCTTTTACTTCAGTCTTAACTGAGTGTAGAGCAGCCAGGAACGATATTTTGGCCTCCTACATGCAGGGCTGGCGTTTAATTAATGCAATGCCTGGATTATGCACTGTTAAATTGTTAAACTAACAATAATAGCACCTCCAAACACCTAAAAATGCAACAGATGTCCCAGTGCCTTTACACAAAGGCATCTTGAGAGACAGACACCTAATTAAATTACACTCTTTAAATCCTCCTTAGAGCCTCTATTATCAGTTGTTTTGGAAATCTGGCCTCAAGTTTAGAGGGAAGCAACTCAGTTGGCTTTGACAGCATGTACACAAATAATGATTTTAACTCCAATATTTTATACATATATATATATACACACACACACACGCACACCTTGCTACCATTCCTGAAATCCCTCAGACCATTTTCTTAAATAATAGCATTTTATGACACCGAGAAACCTACAGTCTTAATCTCCATGGAGAGCCATTTGTTTGAGGACGTTCCAACCAAAGCCGCTCCAGCCCCATTAATGCATTTCTCACTTTGTGACAGGGACCTTCCTGGGCCTTCCCCATTTTAAGTCTGTTATCATTTAATTGCTGCTTTTGGTTGTATCCATGCTCATCCCTTAACTTCTGCCATTAAAATGAGGATCTGGGTTTCCACAATTGTATTCTCTCTTCATTAGAAATATGTAAAGAAATAGTGATATACATGCAAGCTCATCTTTTTTGACTTGTAAATCTCTCTTTAATGTGGAATTAATCTTTTTTAGTTTCATGGCACAAGAGAAACAGCTCTGGTTTCCAGAATGCTGGAAAGCATTCTGATATTTAGGTTTTTTGCTTAATCCTACTTTTATTTGTAATTAGTTCTCCCGCACCATGCCCTATGCGAGTAAACTGTCCTCGTCCTTCCTGACTGCATGTGCCTGGATAAGACAGAAAGGAAGGAAAATCTAAGGAACTGAGGAAATCGACAGAGGGCTAAGAACCTCTTCCTTACAGATTGTCTTGTGCAGGTTTCTGTATCCTGCTCATCTACATCATACAGGACAGCAAAGCATTAGGCCTCCCACTAAGATGCCCCAGATGTTGCTTATTCTCTAATCCTCTCACCAAGCTCAGAGGTCGAAACCACCCTCAGCAGGTCAAGTCCTCCCTCACCAGGACCCCGCCAGGCCCCGGCAGATCCAACCTTGCCAGGACCCTCCCCCCCGCCTTTCTTTTTTTTTCCAGTTATCTATTGTGTGTGTTAAGCTGAGGCCAAGATGAACTGTTTGGGGTTTTTGCTCCTCAAAGCATATAAGTGACTCCAGAGGCTGCATGCTGCTGAGACGTTACCCTCATGATTTCTCTAGGAAGTTTTCCCACTATTTCAGTGATCAACACCAACACTATACAAAGTATTTGAGTCCAAGACCCCTCTGACAGCTGACTGAAGGAGTGCTTTCCTCCTCCTAGGGCGGGGGCTTTGCTGGCTGCCCAGTGTCACCCCTTGTTTCTCCTCCTTTCAGATGAGCAGAACATTCTGCCCTGCAAAAAGGAAGAACTGCAGTGCGGGAATGGACTCTGCCTCTTAAACTGGCTACGCTGTCACTACAAGAAGGACTGTGGCAGAGACTACATGTCCATCAAACTAACATGTTCAAGTGAGTTACCCTTCCCTTTCCTCCTAAGTAATGAGAAATAGGTATATTTAGGGGGTTAATTTATATATATATAAATATATACATATATATTACAATTTTGTTGCATGCTGATTTCAAGTTGTCTAACTGCCGAACTTCAGCAGTGGTGAGAAAGGGAGATTTGGTCCTGCCCAAAGTGCATAACGCTAATGCGTCCTGAGGAAACCTGCTCTAAAATGCCAGTTTCTAAAGAAAAAAAAGTGCAATCCAAACACTAAGAAAACCTGCAGAAGGGAGCGGTGGGCGCCAGAACCCGTCAGCCACAAGCCGCGCTGCCGAGTTGCTGCCCTGGCTGCTGCCCCAGCCCCGCTCGTTTTGCGGGCGGATGGGGAAAGCAAAGGCTCAGGAAAACGCTGGGTCAGCATCGGCATCCACAGCAACTGCCGGGAGTAGAAGCAGACTTGGAGCGGGGCTGTAGCCTGAGGGAGATTTCAGTCATGTCCGTGGCTCCACCACAGGAAACATTCACACTGTAGGCACTGCCAACCACAGCGTGGCTGGGGCAGGAAAAGCCTTGGCAAGCGGAGGGCTCAACCACAAGTACATGAAATCAGTTCTGTTCTTTCCATGGCACCTCACGCGGCCTCCTTCCTAAACACGGATTCGAGACACCGCAGCACTGGAAGCAGAGCTCAGCAGCACGGGTGTGTGTTGAGCCTTGGTCCTGCCGTAGCTAAAGGGCTGCTTACGGATTCACTGCAGTCAGCGAGGACCTGGCAAGCCCTGTGTGCATCCTTAGAGATATGGGTCTTGCCCAACCCAGCAGTATATACTTAGCAATAGGTGATGTGTGTGTACATACAGGTCAGCACATACAGATCTGTCCCTGTAAAAGGCTTCCTTAAAAAGAAAAACTGTAATTCATTTCATACAGCAAGATTAGAAGTCTCCACAATTCAATTAGATTTCTAACCTCCACAGTAAATTATTGTTTCAGTCTTTAAAGACACAATGGAGTTACTTCCTTAGCACACTTCAGGAGCTTAATTTTAGCATTTAAAATGCAAAACACTGAAGAATATCATTTAATGTGCAGTTACCATGAAATTTAACCTAGTGGGAAAGAACACGAACTATTTAAAGTGCTTTTCAAGTATGAATAAATTTCCATATCCTTCTGGCATCAGGCAGCCAGGATCACCTCATGCCCAACTGAGCTCCCGCACCTCCCTCCACATCCCTCCTGCTCCCATTTCTTAGCTTGACCCACAGGGATGTTTTGCTGTTAAATCCTCTTGAATCAGGAGCAACCCTACAGCTAAGCCTTAACAAAAGCACCGTACTGCATGTGCTTAAGGGAAACTGCCCTCAAAAGCAATGCATAGATTTGTTCCAGCTGAGAAAACAAGCGAGTATTTCCTTGTCATAAGAGGAAATCAAATGTGTAACCTTTGCCCAAGGGTTAACCATAAGTTTCTTTGAAAATATACTCAGCGAAAACTGTTGACCTCAAACACTTAAAAAGTGCCTGCCTTTACCTGCTCTCCTCCTTTCAGTGCACTTGCCAACCCTTTAGAAGAAAAGCTTGGCACACTTTTTTTTTTTTTTTTTTATCTAAACCATTTTATAGCATCTGAAATGATCACCTTGCTCTTTTTAGGCTGTATTATCTATCTAGAGCCTTTTCTCTAAATTTAACACACTAGTGCTAGAGAGTTAACTTGTGCAATACAGCTGGAGTCTTTTGTACCAAAGAAACTGTTTTTCATGTCCCCTGACCTGTTTATTTTAATAATAATTAAAAACAAAGTTAAGTATTGCATAAAAACTTCAAGTGATTTTCTGCCCTAAAGATTTAACACTGGTATTAACAGGAGCCAGGTTGCTCTTTATTCTAAAAGCAGCACCTCCACATATAACCCTACAGATTGCCTTTCCACGGAGTACCATAGGTCATTTGGTGTAACAATCTACAAGACTCTTCCCAGCTTTACATGAAATCTCTCCATGGGGATGCTCTTGCCTTCTGAAGCCCATCCAGCCTCTTATTTAGGATACAAGGTTTCTTGGGGGAAAAGCCGATTCCAAGAGGGACACAGTTCTGTTCTTTAAGCAATACATGAACATAATGGAGCTTGAAATAACAGTGAAAACTATAGCTAAAAATACTAAATTTTAACCTAGTAGATGCATTTCTTCATTTCCGTTCATTTGTACAGTTGGATTTTTACTGGAAAAGAATTAAAAGGAGAGTTTCTATCAATGCAGCATGGCAAAGGCTGCCACCCAAACACAGACATGGAGCTAATCTTGCTGAAGAGTTGTCTCAGCTACGCCTTCTCCTTCATCTGTGATGAAAAGTGTTTGAGTTTCACAAAAGGTTTCTTAAAAACATTTCAGTACCTGTTTTTTTTAAGTGCTGCATGTCTATAATATAAATTTTCAGAAAGACAAGAAAATGAGACTATAGCAGCTGGGCAAATATTGTTTCCATAATGTAAGTGGGTAAAATAGTGACAGAGTTTCTGAACATGTATCAGTGCTCCCTGGACTGAAAGATTTTGCACAAATGCAATCATCATAAGTACAAGGCATTTGAAGGTGCCTACAAGGAAGCATGCATGCAAGTGCATTCCTGAATTGAGACCTAACTATTTTGTCCGAAGTCTTTCTATATAAGCAACAGAATGAAGCTTTCTGACACGTGAGCTTTATGGAATAAGAGTTCGTGGGAGACGCTACGTGGAGCAGAATTGCGAATAAGAGGAAAAACATCAGTGAGCAAATAGAAAAACACTCCTCAGGGCCAGGGGACATAAAGCCTCCTTAAAATTCCGAACTCAAATATGCCCTAAGTCACGACTGGAATGATTTGGTTGGTTTCATTTGAGCGCCTAACAGAGCAGGCCCGTTCGTACCGTTATATTGCAAGCAAAGCATTCATAGCTGCCAGGCGTTGTTCCAGAGAGAACAATGGCAAATAAATACAAATATATATAAATACATAATCAGAGCAGAGGGAGGAAAAAAAAGACATAGGGTAGAAACAAGATATTTTCCTGATCTACCTTACTGTGGTTTTATAGAGAATCTCATAAACAGCAGCAATTCACAGAACCAGCGAATGCTGTTTAGAGATGAGTGAAACGCCAACGACTCCGGGTGCAGCGGGAGCAGCGACCCCGTGGCCCTCGCTACCCGCGCAGCCAGGGAAGCTCCAGCCAGGGAAGCTCCACTAGATCCCTGCAGATCCTTCCCCTCCTTCCAACCCCACGTTGCTTCTCAGGAGCCACGCGGGGACAGAGGCTCCTGCAGGAGCCAAGGGTACCAGCTCAAGGTGGGGACGCTGCTCTGCGCGCGGGAGCATCAGCCGCCCCGGGCCTCCCCCGGGGAGGCCACAACTCTGCGGCCAAGATGTTAACAGTCATGCGGGGCATCCTCTCGGGAAAGGAAAACGTCGGCACTGACACTGTTTGCAGCAATAAGCTGCGTTGGCAAAAACCCGTCACCACCTTGTGAATGAAACCTGGGAAGGGCAGGGCCTGGCGCCAGCGCTTGCCCAGGTCACAAGCACCTCTCCCACCGCCCCACAGAAGCACGAAAGCCTGGTTGCCGTTTGCTGCTTGCAGTGAAAAGAGTCTAATTTTATCAGGAGAGCTCGCGGACAAAACCGAGAGGAGCTCTTCGTAAAGGATGATAAGTGAAAGCTAAGATTAAGGCTGACATTAGGCAAACTGATTTTAGATTAGTCTTGATTTGCCATCACAACACAGCACCCGTTTGTGAGAACATATACATACACACTTGTAGGAGGCGGACACGGCTGTTAGGGGGTTGATGTATACATATTAAATTGAACAAGAACCCAAAGGACAGCATGTATAGAGTAAATAAGACTGCTGAAATATTCCATCGATTCCAAGACATCCATCACAACTGTCATCAAACTGGACCATGGAAAGAGGTTCCACACAAGTGTTATGTGATATTTAGAGCAGGTGAAATATGTGGAGAAGGTCCAGAGGGGTTCAAACCCCTTCCTGTTCCGCCAGGCTCCGAACAAGATCCACCCTGCGGCTGGGATGGCTTTTCTGGTGCCTCCAGGCAAGGAGAGATCCCATTACAACTCTGCTACTGATACTTTCCTTGTAATCCTCGAGCATCGTCAAGCGCGCGGCGTGGGCGAAACGGGTGTCTAACGTACATGCTACACTGCTCATGACAAAGGGATTTATAAAACCACTTTCCATCCAAATTTCATTAACTTTGCCAGAACATACAATTGCTTCAATGGCGTCTAACCTAGGAATCAGGGTGTTTAGGTGAAAAAAGCAAGTTTATTGTTCTACTCTTATTCTAGATCTATTATTATTCTCACTCAGCCTTATTCAGCACACAACAATACATACTGCAATTTCCCTTATAAAATATATATTTCAAATCTCTTTGACAATAATAAATGTCTTGAACTTTAAGGAAAGGAAAAAATAACCCCAGCCTAGACTTCCAAGTGCCTGCAGACAAAGAGCTTATGCTGCTCTAGGAGAAACAGCTCCTCTCAGCTGGGGGAAAGTTACTTTTTTCCCCTCAATGTCCTGTATCCTCCTGCACTCTGGCCTGCCAGTCCCTCAGCTAATAAGTCTTCTAGAGCAAGCAATAGGGTTTTCAAGGCAGGCATGCTTTCCCCAGCTCTTAGCACAGCAATAGCTGCAAGTAATTTAATTTCAACAGATCTTCCAGTGCCCTTGAACTTTGGTGGCTTCTCTAGCAACCAACAGAAGAGGCGATTGAGAGTGCCCTGCAAATCAATATCTGTTTTGCTGTTATTGACTTGTCTGCAACTGCCTACGTAGAAACCCCGGTCCTAATCAGACAAATCTGAGCAAATGGAAAAGCTTCTTAGTGGTATGAGAAAAGTCCTTAGCTTATGCAGGCGGGTGCTGGTGCCGTGTTCACAGATACAATAGATAACTTAGGTAGTATTACAAGCTTTATAAGCTCTTTGACATCAACATGGGAAT